AGCGGTCCCTCCCAGCCGCCTGGCCCCAAGAGCCCCCCCCCCCCCCAGACGAGGAACATTGGCGCGGGGGTCGGGCGCTCCAGACCCGCTGCCCTCTCGCCTCCGTGGATGGCGCCGCGTTCGACCGCCCCGCGAGCGCCACGCCGCCCCCCAAGCTGCCCTCGCCTCCGAGAGACCCGCGGCGCGAGTGGTGCAATCAACGTGAAGGCCGACTCCGCCCACCTCGAGGCCGCCCAGCGCATTGACCCCCTGCGCCTGGGAGCCGACAGACGCCGAGACAGGGCGACGTCACCACACAGCGGGTGCATGTACCGATGCGTCGTGAGCTTGAACTGCCCCGACCCGGCCGCCCCAGGGTCGCCGACGGTTGCGAGCTGTTCCACGGGCCCGTCGCTGCCCCGCGGCCGGGAGATCACCCGCGGACCGGTCGAAAGGAGAGAGAGAGAGAGAAAGAGAGAGAGAGAGACGGAGAGAGGCCACACGACTACACGCTGCCTTGTTGAACCACATTCTTCAATCGGCGGCACGCCGCTCCACGGCAGTTCGGATGCTTCTCGGAGTCTCGTGGGATGTCCCGTGGAGGCCTCGTGAGGCCACTTCTGACGCGTGACGTATGAGATCCAGCTCGCGCTCTCGCCCCATCGTCTGCTACAGCAGATGGGTCTTCTCGCACATTCAAGCTCCAGTTTGTAGCTGGTGACGTCGGGTATCCACCTCTCGCCATGTTGTCTGCTACCAGTGCCCGCTCTGGCGACCTCTGTTCCCAGACTGTAGTGAATAACGTCTGGACTCCAAGTCTCGCACCGTCGTCTGAAGAAGCTGGCGTCGGTGCTCCCGGCTTCGCTGGCGAGGATACTGGCGTCAGTGGTTTTTGCTGTGTTGTCGAAGACGATAGCGTCGGTGCTCCAAGCTGAGTTGGCGAGGATGCTGCCGTGGGTCATCCAGGCTGTGTTGTCGCCGGCGTCGTCTCTCCCAGCTGTGCCGACGAGATTGCTGCCTTCGGTGATCCCGGCTGCGCTTGCGAGGGTGCTGGCGTCGGTGTTCCTGGATGCGCTGGCGCGGATGCTGGCGTCGGTGCCCTCGGCTGCACACACACACACACACACATTCGCATTCGTGCCCAAAACATTGGACGCCCAAGTGCTTCCCCCCACCCATCCCGATCAGACCCGCCCGCCATCAGGGTTCGCCCGTTCGACCCGACCGCCCGACCCACCCGTTAGGGTCCACCCACCCCTCAACAAGTTCCCATCAATTACTTCAACACTGGCTTTTGTCAAAAAGTCAGTTTGTGATTAACAAGTCCGTGTGTGGGGGGGGACGAATCGCGGGGGTGGCGCCCGCCAAGTTCAAACACAACGGCGGCGGCGCCGGTGATTAGCGCCAACGCCCGGCCGCCAGCGAGAAGGCGACAGAAACTGCGCATACTGGGGGAAGGGGGGGCGGGAGGCAAAGGCGGCAGAAGCAGGGACCATGAGCCAAGGCGACACTCGTTCGAAATGAAGAAGATGTGCTGCCGGCGATTGCCCCCGCACTTTCCGTCATTTTTTCTGTCGAACCGATGTGCCTCCTTTGCCCTGGCCGCGAGCAAGGCGGGCTGGACGAAAGGGGGGCGTGGCCAAGCGGGGATCTGCCAAACAGCTCACATTGCTGATTTTCCGAGCGCCTCCTGGCGCCGAAAACGGCCATTCATCGAGGATTGGCCCCCCGGCGGGGCGACCGAAACCAGCTGCGCGCAGCAGGTTTCGCACCCCCCCTCTTCCTTTTTCAGCCTTTCGTCCGACCTGAGCAAGGCGGGCAGACCTCCTCAATCCGTCGGTCGTGGTCTGTCTGTAGTAGTCGACGACGACGAGCAGGCTCGGTGTAGTCGACAACGGCGACGACGACGACAACGACCGCGACAAGGAGAAGATGACGAGGAGGACGATAACGAGGACGAGGACGACGGACGGCGGACAGCGACGGCGACGGCGACGACGACGACGACGACGCCGACGACCTGCGGATACCCTAGGGGGGGGGGGGCACATGCCTGCTGCAGTCGACGGCGACGACGACGACGACGACGACGACGACGACGCGGACGACGACGACGACGACGCCCTGCGGATGCCGCATAAAGGGGGTGCTGCGTAGACCCGCTGTTATCGACGACGACGACGACGACGTCGACGACGCCTGAGCGGGAGAAAAGGATTCGCCTCGGAAGTATACGACCCCTATAACAACGTCTTTACGAAAAAGCAATCGTTTTGATTTGAGGCTGTCGTGCAGGGGGGTACACGATCCCCTCGGCGGTGCCCGCGACGACCCCCTGGCGCGCGTGATTCAAAAAATGTTTCGCGCCCCACGTGATCTATTCATCAGCGCCCGGGGGGGGGCTCATTTGTTAACGACAAGCTGGCGTGAAAGGAAGACCTGTACGATGCGAAGGGCTACGGTGCTGCCTCGGCGCGGCGAATGCTTCGTCCTCGCCGCGCTCATCGGCAACTTCGCCACA